TTATGCATTATATGCTAATGTGACATTCACTATAATTACATCATTAAATCGTAATGGCTTCTATTACACTTAAATTGTACATTCTCCATATTATACCCTTCCTAGGAACTTTAAGTATGTTAATTACTTGAATCTTCATGGCAATTCCATAAAATAAGTATCATTGTTATGATTTTAAAGATGAAAAAGTGAGGCAATTGGGCACTGTGGCACAAGTCTATAATCCCAGTGGCTAAGGGAGGCTGAGGCAGGAGGATCTTGAGTTCAAAGTCAGCCTCAGTAACAGTAAGGTGCTAAACAACTCAGTGAGACCATGTCTCTAAATAAAATACAAAATAGGCCTGAGGATGTGGCTCAGTGGTTGAGTGCCCCTGAGTTCAATCCCTAATACTGCACCCCCCCAAAAAAAAAGTGAGGTAGAGAGATATTAAGTAACTTGCCTAAGATCATATGATGGTTTTTGCCAACAAGTGGACTTGAAAAAGAGCTGTCTGCCTCAAGCCATCCCACAGGTTGAGGTGGAGGAGAAGAGCATGAACTAGCAAGGAACCTGACACCTAGTGACCATTCCAAATTGGCTACGTAATTCAGAAAATATTCACTCTCTCACTCTGTGCTGGAAATATATTCACTGGAGTGATTTCTGGGATGGTGGATGGGAAGAAGAGCTGGCTGTCACTTACTCTAGATGCTCCTAATGAGTCTAACATCTGGATGGATCTTTTCTGGGAAATCCAGGCATAATCAATTATCTTCGTTGCAATTTGCATGATCTTTATTTGGTATCATGCATAAGGTCATTTTTTTCTGATATATCTTGACAATCATAACAAATGGTATTCTATGTTTTGTCATTACCTTTACAAAAGAAGGTTTGGAATCATCACAGGTGGAAGAATTTGACCAGAAAAGGTCAAAATATAAACATTATGATGTATGATGCATTTAAATATAGGCATTATTGCTTTACTTTTAGTAAGGGCTTTTTAAATGAAGATTTTTATTTTCAAGTGGGTGAACCTAAACTTGGCAAAAAGCCCCTTAAGCTTCAGTTCTTTCTTTTTCTATTCTGTACTAGCTACTTGCAAGTATTTTAAGTATTAAGTCATTTGTTTTAATCAAAGGTTACCATTTCACTGAGTAATTTTATTTGTGCAATATAATTAAAAGTTGCAGACTATAATTTAACACATCAACACTCTTTATTAATTTCCTTAAAAGTCTTATTGTGTTCCTGATAGAACAATGACTGTTATATAAAACTATATATACTTTCTTTAACCTAGAAATAATCCATCTGCACATCATATTATATTTTCTCTTCAATGGAGATTGTTTTTTCAAAAATATAGAATTCTAAGGTAAATACAATGGAAAACATTATAAAAGACTGTTTTCCAGGTCTTGGAAGGAACAAGATTAATTAATCTTCATTTAAAAGATAAATGGGTATGTAAGAAATGTAAATGTTTGTGGTGGTGGACATGATAATTGTTTAATTTGATCATGCAGATTGCATACATCTATCAGAATATCATGCTATATCTATTAAATATATATAATTGCTATGTGCAATTAAAAGAGAACCCCCAAATGTACCCAAATGTCAATCAATGGCAGAATAGGTAAATGTGTTGTAATACATTGATTTCCCCAAGAGAATAACATACAGCAAAAAGAATAAACAACTTACAATTACATTTGAATGGATCTCAAGAATAATATTGAACCAAAGAAGTCAGATCAGAAAGTTACAAATCACACCATCTCATCTATTTATATAAATCATGAGAACGTGAAAAAATAATCAGTGCTATTAGATGTCAGGCTCATTGTCACCTTCGAGTAGGGGAAGGTGGTGATTCGAAATGTGCACCTTGTCTTGAGCTAGGCGCTGCCCACACAGGTGAGCTCAGTTTTCAGAAGTTCATCAATCTGTAAATTTCCAGTAAGTATACTTTTCTGGATGTACATTATACTTCCATAAAATTTTAAAAAGCTATGTATTTAATAAAGAATATTTGGCAAATCTCACCATAATGGAATAAAAACAGTGTCCCCTCAAACCTGCCCTTCCACCCCCCCAAAAGGTGAAAGGGTATCCTTAAAAGCACTGACTTAACAATTGCAGAACTGAGGGTAGAAGAATAAAGCAACAGCATACAAGAGGATATTTTGTGGTGTCTGGAAAAACGGAGAGAAGAGGTGAGTGGGAATTATTAGACTTCCTCAGGTAGGACAAGGTCAGCACCTGGAGCCTGACTTTGAGGGGTGCCAGTGGAGAATCTCTAATTCTGTGTGATGACTCTGGGATTCAGAAAATGTAATGTCATCTCCCCCCCCCCTTTTTTTTTTTACAGTAATAGTAAACAAAAAAATAGCAATGAACAATACTTATGATAAAATACCCAACAGCATAGTAAGAATTTTATATATAACTAAAAAGCAACGTACAATGTTTTCCAGATGGAATGAAGGAACTAATACAGCAAAAACATTTAAACTGTTTGCTCACAGACTATGGCTCACAGTGAATCATCAAAATTCCCAAATCCCACAGCATTTTACAGCTTTGTAAATTCATTTTTAATGATGACTGTTATCCTGACAATTGGGTTAGTTCCCAGCCTGAATGGGTTGGGGGGACCTGCCTGTAGTTCATGCATCTGGGGAAGGAAGCAAGGAGAGCAGCCTCCTGAGCATTCCCCTAATGTCCTCCTACACTCAGGCTTCATAGCTACATCATGTTTTCTAGCAGCCAATTCCAATAAATTTAAATATCCTCTAATCCTTGTTACCAAATCACTTTTTCCCCCAGTACTGGGAATGAGCCCCAGGTGCTTTACCACTGAGCTGCTTCTCCAGCCCTTTTTATTTTCTTTTGAGACAGGGTCTTCTTAAGTTGCTTAGGGACTCACTAAGTTGCCCAGGCTGGCCATGAACTTGTGCTCCTCCTGCCTCAGCTCCTGAGTCTCTGGGATTTCAGGTGTGTGCCACCACTTTTAGTCAAATCACTCCTGACTCCCTTCCATTCTCCCTCCAACACATTGCTCCACCTGGTTTTCCTTGACCACCTTCACTCACTGCATACCGACTCCCCTTTGCTTTGCATTCTCAAGCACTTTTACAAAGTTCATATTCTGTCCCAGAAAGAACGCAACTTATTTGTGTTTTTCTTCTTTGTTTGACTTTCCAAATTATACTCTAAGCTCCATGGGCATATGGTTTTCTTTTCATCATTATAACTATTTTGTTCCCTGTTTCTCTCTCACTTTCTTTTTTCTTCTTTCTTCCTATTTCTTTCATAGTCTGGAAACTGTCCTATCATACTACGCAAACAGAAAAATGTTATCTGTTGACATTTTTTTATTCTGAAGTTTTCTAGAATTCACCTTCTAAGAAATACATGTGCCAAGTTAGAGTTATTAGTTGTTATTTACTTTTAAACTTTTATCTGAAATGCAAGCTCTGGTTTTGAGGGTGGATCCCAGAGTGCATTATGATGATAATCATGAATACTAGAGTCCTTTCCAAAGGAATCATCAGTGGCTGATAATCTCCAACATTCATTTCCATCTACTCGGATATACCTAAGTGCTTTTAGTTTTTAACCTCTTCACTAGATGTTTTCTTCCTAGTCACCATATTGTCAGATTAAATCAAATCATATTTTGTGTTTTACAATCTTTTTGCATGTATCCTTTTATTTTATATGTAAAAAGTAGCATGGAGAAAATGAAGAGCAAAGGCCACTTCACAAAGAAAACCTATAAGGAAAGGGCACTGTGAAGATCACACAGCCCAGGAGAGGCTGGGCTCTGCCTGACAGGGACTGAGGAGATTTCATGGCCCAGCTTTCCAAGCCAGGATTTTTTTTTTTTTTTTTTGGTACCTGCTGACAACCACACTTGCTTCATGCTCAGATGCTGCCAACCTGAGTCAGAGTCCATCACAGTGGAGAGGAGTGTTTTTCTATCTTGGAGACATAAAGTCTGCTGAAGCCAATTTCATGTGCTGACAAAAATCAGTTCATGGCCTCACACAGACCCTGGGATGAACTTGGCAAGGAAGCCTGCAGACTTGAACCAATGTTCTTTCTACCAATGCATTTGGTGTGGATTTCTAGAATTATGGGAGTTTTAAAAAGTGGAGTCAACATGTTAATTCTAAAGTCCATTAACTCCTCCCTGGGGAAAAGCGATAATTTCCCAATAAACAGGAGATATTGGAAGATAAAGTCAACCTGTTTATGCAAGGCAACTTAGTTCAAGGAGAAGGAGCAAGAACTTTGAATCTGCAGGGTTCCAAATGATAAACGACCACAGGCAAATTGTTCAACTGCTCTGTGACGGTGTTTAATCCTAAAATGTGGACATGATAATCCTACATGATGGGTCAGAATTACAGATGCTATTGGCTGATGAGACTCTTTGAAGAATATCTAGAAGTAGGAAAAGGCTGACTTGAAAAAGCCGGGGCAGAAGCTATAGAGTCATAATGCTAAAATGTGAAGGAATTAAAGAATTCGTGTGCGGAAAATAACATGTGAACAAATTCATCAATTAGACAAATTTGTTAATACTTATTTGGTTCTACTTGCAGTCTATGAAGCATTGAGGGAGGTTTCCTTCGCAGAGTAGATGAAGCACGAACTCATAGTCCCAATGCCAAACCTAAACTACAAGTGTGCACATAGGCTACCTTCCAACTGTCAAATGGAGCAATAGTCAAATTTACTGACTGTTAGGAAGGGAGGGGGAGGACAGGAGAGGAGAATTACTAGGAATGAGGAATGCCACAACGTTCAATGATTGTGAGTCTCCTGTGTGCTTGATTCAGATTGACATTATTCAAAGCAAACATCTAATAAACTAGAACAAAGCCAGGGCGTATCCTGGAGTCCTGCCATCCAACAGAGCTGACTTCACTTGAAGACAAGTGATGGCCATTCTGGGTAATCTTAACTTTTTTTGGTGTTCTTGTCATGATAGTTACCCTACCTTTTGGTGCCATATCGAAGAATTGTTCTCGAAGATTGTCAAGCTGTTCGATGGTCAGAGTACCATTTTCTTCCTTTTCCACAGGTGGGGGGCGTACTGGTGGAGGAGGATCTGGGAAGACTTTTATGTCACCATTAATGAAGAAGTCTTCTTGGTGTAAATAAAGCTCATACTGAATTTTTGTAGTTGTTTCAATGTGATAGCGAGCGACTTCAGTTAATTTTTCCACACTGAAAGCAGTAAAATGAGTAGAGTTATCTCCATTAAAGATACTTCAGATTAACAGTGTTTACTTTATACACACAAAGATGAACCCATTATTTAGTTAAGTTACATGATTTAATCTGTATTTTTAAAAATTTAAATTTTCCTCCAGTCTATTTTGTAAGAAGTTAGAGTATAAATACATGAAGATTAAAAACAAAATATATGCTTATTACACAACCAATGGCTATCCATTTTGTATAAAGGTGAACAAAAGAGAATTCATTAGATATGGTTTTATTAGTATTGAATACATTTTACTATGCGAATGATTGTATCAAAAAGTTAGCTTTCATTCTAACTATGAACCAGAATAACATGATATAGCAAATATAAAATATGACTATTAGAGTAATTAGTTTATTTGGAGTCAGGATAAATGTTAAAGTGGATCAAATTTGAAAATATATTTCTGGAATAGTGGCTTTTCTCTAACTTTATTTCAAGGAGTATAATGTTTTCTAAGACACAATTACCAGAATAGCACTCATATGCATAAAATCCATTACAACTGTGTTGCTGTCTTCTTGAAGAGTGAGTGATTCCTAGCTAGATCGAGTGTCCACTAGCAACAGCTAGTGACCACAAAGGGGCAGTAGGAAGAACACTGGGGTTGAGAGCACTCTTCCAGAACACACTCTCGCCATGGGTCCCACAGTAAGTCACCTAGGCTTTCTGAATTACTTATTTTTGCGATAAAGCCAGGTCACTCCCTCCCTTTTGGTAACTCATGTGAGAACACATAGGTCATGGATTTCAACCATACTGGGGCGGTTGTATAAGCAAACAAGTAAAATACCACTGTATTGAAGAAAGGATCTTGTTTTACATCTTAGAACAAATAGTGAACATTACAAGAAAAAGTATATCCAATCTGCTTTTATATAATTAGGAGCACCAAAATACTCATATATTGAAATTTTAAATCATATTAGTTGCTGTCTTTCAAAAATGTCCTTGAACTGTCAACTAAATTTATGTCTCTTTTAATTTACTTTATTTGTTTCTCTTGGAATTTATCACATTTCTAAAATCTGTGGATTCTAAACTGTCTAGTCCAGTTCTAGAAAATTCTCAGCTATTAAGTTTAACTTCTTTAGCACAGTTTTGTTCTTTCCAATTACTTACTTCTTAATGTGTAATTTATGGGTCTTTTTTATCTTTAGTAATTTTCTCATCAACTTTTTCTAATATAGTCTAATCTCACTGAATTTGAAAATTTCCAATATTATAATTTTCTTCTCTATAATTTTATGAACACTCACTTATTCAAATATGTTTTAGAGTGATTATTTTATTTATTTCCCAACTCATATTTTGAGTTCACATTATGTTTTCTTCATTATGCTACTGATGCTTATTTGGATATTATTTCACTCCTAACTTTGAGGCTGTTCATGAAGGAAATAACTAAATACAATGTCAGAAGATGCAAATAAAGACAGATTGTAATTGAGCACTTGGTTCTAAACAGTGTCTTGGATAAGAAAAAATAATTTAATATTGTCAAACTTCTGATAAGAAATTATTGTTCATTAAAACTATACTTCAAAAACAAAAGGTATAATTTTCAGAAGAATGAAAATTTGTAGGAATTCCTTTAACATAAATGTGTACCTAATGCTATATACTTTATTAGAAAGCAAATTAAATCTGTTTAAAACATACAGATGTTATGAATTAAATAGAGATGTAAGGTAGGCTTTTCTAGGTTAAACACGAATATTAAATTATTTAGGGCAAACACTAATAGAAGGGTTATGAATAACATTTTAAACCAATAAAAATGAAATTCTCAATAAAAAAAAATGCCCTTGAACTCAACTACAGAATGCTGACTTTTTGAGTGTTCATGTAGCATGTGTTAGCTAATTACTTTATGCTTTGTGGTGTTTCTGTGCTGGGGGACAGAGAAGGAAACTGGTAGCTATTTACATAAGTGAAGAGCCTGGGAATGTAGATTGAGACCCAAACAGAACCAGGAAATCAAACAGGTGTGCGCCACCTAGTGGAAACTGGAGGTCACCAAGTGTAACCTCAAGAATGGAAGAGAACAGATACCAGGAAAATAAGAAACAGGATTTGAAGTTCAAAGGGATTTGAGATATCTCTCTCTCTCTCTCTCTCTCTCTCTCTCTCTCTCTCTCTCTCTCTCTCTCTCTCTCTCTCTCTCTCATCACATTCCTAGGTTTTTAGTTTCCATATGTGGTCACAATACATAATAGCATCTATAGATTCAGAGGGCAGGTATATACAATGTAAATCTGAGAACTTTGAGTACACTGGATAATATCCATTCACTGGATGGCCACGTGGACGGGAACCAGGAATCCTAAAAATGAAGAAGATGTGTATGGCAATATGTAAAAATGTGGATGTGCAACCGATGTGATTCTGCAATCTGTATACAGGGTAAAAATGGGAGTTCATAACCCACTTGAATCAAATGTATGAAGTATGATATGTCAAGAGCTTTGTAATGTTTTGAACAATTAATAATAAAAAAAAGAAAAAAAGGAGAAGAAGATGTGTTTTCATTTGCAAATGGAAAGCAGAGAGCAGAGATAAGGGCTCCTGCTCTGTGAGGTTCACAGGAACTGGCTTGGCTGTCTGCTGTGAGACTATGTTAAGCACTACTGCAGTGAGTTACCAGACTGAGATATGTTTGTGAGCACCTTTTTAAAAGCATATTTATTTTACTTTGTTGCAACAGTTCTAAAAAATTAGGCTGAAAAATTTACAGTAGAACTTTCATTATGAGACAAGGACTGAGAAAACAAACCCTAAAAACTGCTGTTTTAGAGGGTAATTTCTGCTTCTCAGAATACTTGCCAAAGGAACGCTTATTTAGGTGGTAGCCTCTAAATTTTCAGTAAATGTTGATTGGAAACTGTAATGCATTACGGAATCTAGATCAAATAGAAAGCTCTGAAATAGCCTGGTTGGAGTGTTTCCTTTCATAGATAAAGCTGTTGAGGCCTAAATCAGGCATGCCACTAATTTTGGAAAATGTGGGACTCCTGGTTTTAGAGGAGGGAGCCTCCTGACCCTCAGATGAGGGTGTTTTCACTCTGCTGAGCTGCCTCTTTATACCTCTAGGGGAGAGGTAGAGGATGAGACTCACTGATTCTTACTAGCAGGGAGTATTTGGGAAGCCCTTGGAACTCAATGGAAGATCATCTTTAAGTATTACCCATACCAGGGAATCAGCCTAACTAGTAAAACATTCCAGTGAATGACTTCTTAATTTTTCACTATTTGACTCTCACTGATGGTAAAAATAGTCCTAGAAAGAAGATGTGAAGCCTTATCTCACTTTGCAAAGATATGTCACTTTGTAAACTAACGTTCCCACAGAACAGTGAGAAAACTGAATTCATAAATAACATGCAAAACTGGATACTGCAATGAAACCTTTCGAAACATGATTTACTGTTGGGAAAGGAGCAATACAAACACGAAGTAAAGCTCACTTGTTTATACACTTGATGTCCTAATGGCTAAAATGTCCCTTTTAATTTGTAAACTATTTAAATTTGTAAACACCTTAAAAATCCTTGTCAATTTTGGTGCACAGGAATTAATGAAATGTATTTTTTAAAAGTCATGCAGTACTTTACCTGGCCATTTCATTCAAATACTTCTCACCAAGCCATTTTTCCATGAGTTTATAGACATTGACCGCCTTTGTTACTAAATCTTCAAGGACAGTCAGTGCTTTTGTCTTTATCAGTTCAAGTCGAAACTGTGTAGCTGTCTCTATTTAAAAAGAGAAATCAAGATTGTTTTTTCATGTATTATATGTACCTGAACTTTGTGATGAACCCAATTCACTTTTAAGCCAGTCATGCTTCAGTTTGTGAAGCTGTTGGTGTACTTTTCATGTACCTGTGTAGATAAGGTAATGTCTCGTCTCATTAAGAAGCAAAGGATAACCTGTGGCAAAGTCATCAGAGAAATTATCTAAACCAAAACTCTACCTGAGCTCTATACTTACTGCACTTTCTGGCAATACACTCTTTGATAAGTGGAATGGGAAGAAACACACAGACAATTTCTGAATTTCAAAGTCTTTGCTTATTCTCTCCCTAGTTTGGAAGCTTGGGGTGGCAAGGTCATCATATTTCTCGGCATTGCTAAAACTAGGAAAAAATTATGGGCTTATTGCTTTTTGGCACATTATAAAGTCTGAGGATTCTACCTTTAAATTATCTTTTTAGTCTTTCTTTTTCACTTTTCCATTGTCTCTGGCCTAGTCTGGGTGCTTATTATCTCTCTTTTAAACTCTTACAATAGCGTCAACTTTGCTTTTTCTAACTTCTTTTCCCTACCTCCACTTCAAGTCCATCTCCAGATCATCCAGAGTCCTCTGAGTCATGCATTTTGCCAAAAGATGTGATCATCTTCACTTTTCTGCCTGTAACTTTTCATGAATTCTGAGTTGTTGTAGGGAAAATCTGACTTTTTTGGCAGGGTCTATTTGACCCTCTGTGGTCTGGCCTCCCATTTTCCAAGTCATTCCTTCCCAGAATATGCCCCTACACACCGCAGGTCACTAGGCTTCCTATCCTTTCTCGGCCTTGGTGTACTTTTCTCTTCATTCCCACCCTAATTTGTCCCCTGGGCAAGTTTCTCCATATAATTTGAGTTCAGCTCACACATTAGCTTTTCTGGGAGCTCTTTCTTGACACCCCCTGCCCTGTTATTCTGTATCTCCAATATTACAACGTGCTGTTAATGATCCTTTTTTTCTAGATGAGCTTTATTTTTTTGTTTGTTTTCTGCTTGTACATATATGTATGTATCTTCAGCAAGGGCTTGGCATATGGTGAGAATTCAATAAGCTTTTACTGTGTGAATGAATGAATTTTGTCACAATGAGGGTCATGCATTGAAGGAACTGAAGACTGAAACATACTGGAAAACAGGGGACTCAGGTATGGAGACAGACCATGGGGGAGATGTTTGGGTGTTGACTCTCCTAATACCTCTTCAGGGCAGAAGGCCCTGGAACATTGGAGATGCATGACAGGCCCTTCTATGGTCTTTGCTTCCAGAAACTCCCTTTTAAGCCCTATTATCCTTTGGTCAGTACTTACTAAATTATTATAATGTAAAACCCACTTACTCTGGTTAGCTCCCACCTAATCCAGTGAAATCATACCAACAACTGTCACAGGTTTTCTTTTTCATTTGTTTGTTTTTTTAAAATTCTTTTTTTAAATGGCTGTCTTGCTCTTCTAACCCCCCTTCAGAATTCTTTTTGTCTCCTTTCTACATCTTGCAGACAATTAGGACTGATTGGGTGAGGGCCCAAACCCTTGACTCACACAACAGTCAAATCTGGTCCTCTGTGATCAAATGAAAACAACCAAGGGAACACTGTCCTTTTGATGAGCTGGCTGGGGGCTACTGGTCACTAATCTACTTTCTACTGAAAAGCATCATCTTAGCTGTTTCCCATCTCTACCTTCGAATTGCAGAGCAGCAAGATATTCTTCCTTTATTTTGAACTTTAGTTCATTCTTCTTTTCCATTTCGGCAATTTCCTCTGCTGTCATAATTACAGGAGGTGGTTCAGATACAGGTGGTGATTTACCTGAAGGGGTGATGAAACATGCTGAGTAAACTACCAACGTATGAGTGCATGCACAGGGTACCTGGGCAAAATGAGTCCAAAGCAAAATCTGTGCAGTTACAAACCTCTAGTGACTAAGAGAACTTTGGTCTTCCCATTGTGAAAGATGAAATACTGATAGTCCTTTCTTGAAAATTCTTCATGTGGTTTCTTGGCTGGACTCAAAAAAACACCCATTTGTGTAGCATCATAAAAATCAAGATGTGCAGCAAGTGTAGAGATGATTACAGAATCCAAAGAAGGTGGAATTCAGAATTTGGGGACAGAAAAGATCAAAACCCAACAATATTACAACGGATGACATTAGTCACCTGGAGAAATTCCATTCCACAAGGGTTTGCCTATACTAGCATAGTATTTGCAAGAAAAGACCAACACGTAACCTCAAGAAGATGTGGCTAAAATGCAAATGACTGTCAAAAATCTGGAACCTAATTAATTCACTTTTAATTAGCACGTAACTACCAGTACTTTGATGATTTCATAGGAGAACTGGAAAATAGAATTTGCCAGCATTTGCCATGGGAGAGGACAGTGCAGTTCCATTGCAGACCCAGTTTATGCCATTCTACTCAGTTCAGCAAACCTTTCGAGGGTCTGGTGAAAGGGCTGGACTCTAGAGAAGGCACACATGCCTTATTTATTGGCACAAAGGCTTGAACCCAAGGGTCCTTAACCACTGAGCCACATCTCTAGCCTTTTTTGTTTTATTTTGAAACAGAATCTCACGAAATTGCTGAGGGCCTCACTGAGTTGCTGAGGTGGACTTTGAAATCATGATCTTCTGCCTCAGCCTACTGAGCAGCTGGGTTTATAGGCATACACCATGGTGCCCCACCATAAATGTCATTTATTACATAAAAATTTAATAAAGGAATTGGACTCAACCACTAGTTCCACTAAAGAAAACAGAAGCATTTCCTCCTTTGAATGGTGCACCATTTTTTTAACCCATTTGAGGATGAAATAAAGTGGTGATTTTTTTTTAAAGTGAGAGAAAGTAAAGTTTTTTTTTTTTTTTTTTTTTTTTTTTTTTTAAAGAGAGAGAGGGGGAGAGAGCGAGAACTTTTAATATTTATTTTTTAATTTTCGGCAGACACAACATCTTTGTATGTGGTGCTGAGGGTCAAACCCGGGCCGCATGCATGCCAGGCGAGTGCGCTACCGCTTGAGCCACATCCCCAGCCCCATGGTGAGTTCTTTTTTAAGGTGCCATTCTTCTCTTTGCTTCATGTGCCACTAACCACCCCCTCCTCCATCCTCAGTGCTCAACTTAAACGTACTCCACCTGGGAAGTATTCGCCTGTCCACTCCAATGCAATGGGTTGGCCTTGTCCTCAAGGTACCTCTATCTCCCCTATCAAAAAGCAACAACTGGCCAAACATCTGTCCCTGCTGTTAGACCACAGTTCTTTCAGGATAGAGACCATGGATTTAATGGTTCTTGATTTTTAAGTCACTATTGTGTCCTTGGCACCCATAATAGAGTGTTTTACACAGCAGATGCCTAATAAAAATATCATGGTAAGGATGAGCGGAGTGACTTTCCTTATGAGCTTCCCACTTTCCTTTTCTTGCCTCAAGTTACCTAAAAAAATGTATAAGAGAGGAGATGGCACAGTAGAGGAAGGGGACTTAGGGGGTGTGGGTATGAGGAGGGGTGGGAAAAGGAAGGAACTGAGGAAGGTGAATGTGAATATGCGACGGTGAATTCCACCTTTGTGTCTATCTATAAAGCACTGATTAAAAAAATAATAAATAAATAGAAACAAGACCAGTAAAATAGAGGAAAGAACCAGGGGGAGTAGGAGGGGAAGGAAAGAGGAAGCACTAGGGACTGAAGTGGAGCAAATTATATTCCATGTATGTCTATTTATGTGAAAATGAATGCCACTATTATGTATTTATATGGTGCACTAATAAAAATATCTAAACGTGTGCAAGTAGAAATATCCAGAGGGGGAGGGAAAGGTTTGTGCTAGAGATATCCTGAGCTAGGGTTAAGTGAAGGTCTCTCCCAGCCTGAGTTCTCTTATGTTCCCTTCATGTCTCTGAAGCAAAAATTTAGACAAAAGGGCTCCAGGAGAAAAGGACTCACTTAAATTCAAATGTCCCTGAAACTTACAGACACAGAGCTTTTAAACTTCTGGTGTTGCTGGAGCAAACAATCTTTTTGCAAGCATTTCCCAGATGATGTGCTACCATCTTGGAAGTTCTTTTAATACATTTACAATTGCCTGTGAGATTTATTTCACCCTGGATACATCCAGCTATTTGGACCAACAAGTTAAGTGGGAAACCCTTAAATGTCAAGGAGAGGTAGAAGGATGCAGGGTTCTGGGTGCTAAAATCATGAGTACCTTTTGATTTTTTCTCTGCCTTTTTTTTCTTGGGTGGCTCCTTTTCTTTTTTGGCTTTTTTATTTGTACCCATTGGAGGAGACTTTTCTTTTGCATCTGCTGGCTGGTTTTCTTTTTCTTCTTCCATGAGCTGCTGATGAATGTCAGCCGCCACCTAGTTGTGTAAGAGCAACACTTCTGTTAGTGCAACATTAATGGGAACATGAAAACCATTTGGATTTAGTCATCTAGATTTCTTTGAAGCCTCAATCCACTGTCACCATGTAATCAATCTTTACAAAACACACACTTCCAGGATTTTCTGTCCCTGTCCCAAGATGCTGTTCCACTTCAGCCATCTGAAAGTAGCCTCTTGATTTCTCAACCCTGTTTACAGAGCATCCCGATGTGTCCCCATTGCCACCTCCAGACTGGGACAATTCTATATTATGCAAAAATTCATTTTAAAAACAACCCAGATTCTACAACTTTAACCCCTGCTATTCCTCCAAGTTCCTGTTATTCTCTTGGCCTCCAATGAAGGCATTTCACTTTTTCTGTGTTTCTTATCTATTTTTTCACAATTAGATCCTATGGAGATTGGCTGATGTTTTCTTTTAATTTAATTCCCTTCTGAGAAATTTTAATATTGCCAAAGTTTATTTGTTTATGTAATGTGTGTATATCTGAACTATACACATAAAATGCATCTTTTTTCATGCCCTCCAAGTATTGCTGGAGAATGCATGCCCTACACAAATTGGCTTGTGGATACTTGAATCTTGGCCTTCCACTCTAACACCATCCTGGAAGAATCAGTGCTAACGAGGATGACCCCTCTCACAGGCTAACCTCACAATGCCTAGCTTCTTGTACTTGACTGACTCAGCTCCTCTCCATTGCAGCACACCTCTCTTTTTTCTCTTACAAGTGTCCTGATTAGAGAGAAGGGTTGTGTGTCATGTCTTCCCTTCCCCATTCAGGAGGATCAGACCCTGCAGCGATCCCTCCACTTCTCTTCTGGGGCTGAGCTACAGGAAACCTTGTCTCAGGATTGCATGGATGAACTTAGAGGACATTTTGCTAAATGCAAAAATCCAGGCACAGAAAAACAAATACTGTATGAACTCGCAAATATGTATGATCTTAGAAAGTTGAATTCACAGAAATGGAGAGTAGAATGGGGGTTTTCAGGGGCAGAGCTGAGTGGATGGATATAGAATAGGGAGAGGAGAGATGTTGGTCAAAGGGTGAAAAGCTTCAATTAAATGGAAGAAGTATGTTCTGGAAATCTACTGCATGGTTTGGTGACGACAGTTAATGATATATTGTATCTTTCAAAATTGACAGAAGAGTAGATTTTTTAAGTGTTCTCATCAAAAAATGACAAGTGAGGTGATGGATCTGTCACTAGCATGATTTAATTGTTCCAGAACATATGCAAATATCAAAACATTTCAGTGTATGCCATGAATATACACAATTACAATTCGTAAATGAACATTTAAAAACATATGCACATAAACACATAATATGTGTGTGCATGCGTGTGTGTGTGTGTGTGTGTGTGTGTGTGTAAAACCCTCATCTCACAACTTGTGTCACCGGGGTCATTCCTGCAGTTAGAAATACTGAACCTTTTGAACTAAGTCCAGCTGCTTCTAGTGAAGTAAAGGATATTTATGAGAACTGAGAAAAGGACCCCAAAGAAGAAAACACACATGCACTTTGGAGGCAGTAGCAACACACCACATGGTTTAAAACTTTAAAATTTCAATAAAGGAACTGGTGAGGAACTGGGGGTCAATGCGGGTTTGTTTATTGATTTGAGCACTTGCTGTGTCCAAGCCTGATATTACTTCTGAACAGAATGGGGAGGGAAATGAGGGAGAGAGGAACATGGATGGAGACAATAGAAGGCAAATAAGGCACTGTTTACCACAAAGACCCTTGCAGTCTTGTGGGTGAGACACACAGTTACTGCCTCTTCCAATTTTGGCCACTTCATACCCCATGACTTAGTATGTGACTGTCCCCAGTTGTCCCATGAGTGTTAAGTTTCATCCCACCCTCCAAATGGGTTTGCAAGCTCTCCAGAGCTAAGCCCCAGGCCTTTTCGTGTCCCCACAGCTTTGGACACCTATGTTATGTTCACAGGGCATGCCCAGTAAGTGTTATGAATGATAGCTTGACTTTTAAAATAATCATAGTGCACAGAATGAACCCAGAGCTTCTTCAATGTCAATAGCACCTTGGAGGGATCCAAAAAGTTTTCAGAGAACAAGCCATTTTTTTTTTTGTTTTTAGTTTTTTTCCCCCCACAATTGCTCTTTTGATAAAAATGGATTTCATGTTATATACTATACATGAAATTGAAGTTCTTGGTAAAGCTGAAAAAAGGCTTGTTAACATTCCCCACTAAATTGCAAGCAATTCAATTTTGAGTCTGTTCTTGCAAAGCACAGTAAGTTAGCAATTTTCTTTAAAATTGGATTTATCTCCTTGGTAAACAACCTGGAGATGATGATGATGATGATGATGATGATGATGATGATGATTACCATAATCTGCATTTTTTCTGGTCCACTTCCCTCAAAGACCTCTAGGTCTCTTTCAAAAATTAACATAATTTACAATATACTCAGCAGCAATCTAACTTGTAAGGCTGGAGAGAACTTGAAACATAATGCCTTGACATTGTGGGTGTTAAATATGACTTCTTTGAAATCATTGCGTACCTACTAATTAGAAGAAAGTTTTGACAAAAATTAACATTGCATACTAAATGGATAGCTCTGGGTAAAACTGTTGGGTGGAAAAACCTGCATTGAGGTGCTCTCATTTCAATTGCACTAATCTCAGCTGGTGCTGTTTTCCTTGAATCAATTTGCTGAATCATACCTGTCTTATTTGGAACTCAGAGTTCCCTTAAATGGTTGTTTGCAACCAAGGAGAAGTTTAAGCATCCAGTGTTCTGGGTGCTAAAACCATGAACTCCTTTTTGTTTTTTGTCTGTCTTGGACCATGTGACATCAAAGTCATAAAGTCTATTGAAACATATAAAAACTGGATCCATATATAATCATTAGTATTATTAACTGCTAAATGGTTCTTTTTATCCTATGCTTCTTAAGAGGTGTTGAAAGGTTCAAAAGAAAAATGGAACAATTTTAAATAACATTTCTAATACAATAAGAAATTATATTTATAAATTTTAAAACATTTTATGTACTTTATTTCACTGGATCTTTTCAACCAGTTGAGAATATATTTTATATTACAGAGGAATTGAAGACTTAGAGACATTCAGAGATTTTCCTAAAAGCATTCAGGCTAGTCAAGGGATAGTAGCTAGTGCTCTTGCTGCTATATGATCCTTTCTTTATCAAAATATATATTTTAAAATATCATTTATTCAGTAATTTTAATGGGATCCACAAGACTTTTAGATTATGTTCATGAGCTCAATTAACAATAAGAATAATTCACATTGTTTTCTAGAGTTCCCATATCTGGTTTTCCACTCGGGAGCTTGTTGCTTATGGGGGTCTTTGTGGTGATCATTGCCATCTCATCATCATTAGTATTTACATTACATTGTGAATACAGCAGCCACAGCATCTCAAGTCAGTATGGAGGGTCCAGTATTAGGTTAGATGTGGGAATTATTCTAGGTTATGGCATGGTTTTAGAATTTAGTTAAGCATTCAGGAAAACAACTCATAAAAATCACAAACAATAGCCTGGATACTTGGAGCCAAATGAGTAGCAAAGACAATAACTGTTCAAGGATAGAAAGAGCTTAAGATCTAAGATGGTACAAGACTGTGGCTTCAGGAGACAGGCAACAAAGTGGACAGGAATCAAGGTAGAAAATAATACTGATGATTGAAAAGAAATACAAGAGTTAAGCAAATAGAAGGAGGAGGGGCATATTTTAGGAAGGAAAAATGGCACTAGCCATGGTGTTGAAATATAGCAAGTGCCATCTAGTCAGCTTGTGGGAGGGCAAATGAGTTGGTAATTACCAGGATAAGGAGGGCTGAGTCTGGGTCTCTAGGGTAAGGGTTTGGGGTTCTATGGTGCCTACTAGAGAAAATCACACCATGTCTTTCTCTCCTTTTGGGTCAATATAACCTTATAAACATCATATGATTTTTTATTATAAAAAGTCTATTTCACAGTGAATCTCACCATCATGTATGTTCACAAGACACTAATTAAAAAAAAACTATAAGCAAATAGCAGAAAAACATCAGTAGAATAGAAAGAAGGGAGCAAGGGGAGGGAGGAGGGGAGGAAAGGGGGAAGTACTGGGGACTGAATTAGAACAAATAATATTACATGCTTTTACAATTGTGTCAAAATGAATCCTAATGTTATATATAACTAAAAGAACCAATAAAAAGGAAAAAAAAAATAACCATCATTTTCTCTGTTTTGTAGATATATTTGGGATATAAATCTAACATATTGCTATGCCCTAGTGTAACCACCAAGAGAGTAGTAATAGAGTGTATTGCTTTCAAACCTGTGGAAGGGAGAAAAGCAAGCAAAAAGACATGGAAAGGTTAAAAACAAAAGCATAGGAAAGGATCAGATATGCAAACAACATCTCAAATTGCAATTTACAAAAGTATTATAGGTAAAGATGATGTTGTAGTAAGAAAACACAATCTACCAGAAAGATTCGGCAATTTAAAATTTGTATATATCTGGTTTCATCGTTTCAAATATATGTAAGTCAAAAATTGACAAAACTACGGATAGAAAAGATTAAGTTCACTCTCATAATGAGTGTCTTTATCATAACTCTCTGCATAATTCACAGGAGAAAACAAATTTTATGAGGATAAAGAAGTTTTAAATAATATATACATACACTATTTAGTATGTACATACATTTTGAAATAAAAATATATAATAAATTGTAAGTAATATCAATTATAAAAATTTTACATATTAGCAAGGAAATATACAGGTGTATTAAATGATAGTGTGTGTAAACATATATCTATGTATCTTCCTTTGAAAGCTGAAGTGCTATGCCCGCTGATATAAAAGATGACACATACTATTATTAGATGTATACGGAACAGTTATGATTGCACGTAGATACCATATAATATATACAAAAGCCGTGCCCATATGGCATCAAATTGAAAATTCAAATGTATCAAATGCATCCTGGTTAAATAAGCAGTGATGTATTCATAGAATGGAATACTATGCAGCAACAAAATGAACAATTATAGCTATACTGAACAAACATGGGATAAATCTCACCAATAATGTTTCACAAAAGAAAAGACAAAAGATAGGAATCCATTTATTTAAAACTCAAGGTAGGCTAAGATATACGAATTTGTTTAGAGATATAGACTTGGGTAATAAAACTCTTAATTAAATCAAGGAAATGATGTCTAAAAAGGCAAGATGGTGGCTCCTGTTGGTGGGGATAGAGGGGGGTAAGGGTCAGGAAGCAGTTCGTAAATCACCTGGCAGGTACAGACCTTGTTCCATGTCCCCCCTGTGTATTGGTTCTGAGTCTATTTACTCCAGCTAAGTCCCTGAGGCTAGCGACTGTACTTCATGCATGTCCCTGTGTGTCAGAGTTCACACTGAAAAGTTTTTATAAAGAAGCAAGCCAATGAAAGGAGTTGGCAGCCAGTTCTGAGAGAGAGAGAAAGGAGTGAAGAGAAGAGGAGAAAGAAAAGGGGGAAAGAAAGACCCTGAGGCTGCTGTGTGAGAAGGTCAGAAGAAGCCTGAAGGCAGGGGACAAGGAGGACCTCAGGGCAGGTGCAATCAGACATTTAAATTGTTCGCTGTGAGATTGGTGATGCACACTCCCCTTCCACATCTTTCACAAAACATGTGGGAAAGCTGACACTGATTTCTGTTTGAATGAGGCATTTCAGGGAAAGTTTAGGAAGGCTTGACACAGAAGGAAAATAGATGTCATGCGGGTGGACCCAGGACTGGGCAGATTAGGGAACAGAAGTCGTTGGAGTTGAATGCTGTGTGTGCCTTCTGCATGGTGGGATGCCTCTGCTTGGGGTAAACTTATCTCTGCTTTTTCTTTCCCTTCTGCTTTGGGTTGGAAGGATATGAACCTTGATGTCATATAGATTTAGGTTCAAATTTCATTTTGATACTCACCTGCTGGGAGATCTTGGGCAGGTTTCTCAACCTTTCTGAACCTTAGCCCTCCACTGTAAATAGGACAATAATACTTACCCCAGGTGGCTTAGGACAGTGCCTTGCAGAGAGATTGAATACTGGAAGCCTATGGGAAGGCTGTGTGTTTTACTTGGTTCCATCAAGTATTTTTGAGAATTTGATCTCATTTCTTACTGCTGAAATCAGTTTCACATAAAAATCAGACTTTCTGGCTTTTCTTGGAAAAATAGAAAATCTGGCCATTCTGAATCTCATTCTTAAATGGCAAAATGGGTCAGAGCAGGGTAGCACATGGCCTTGTAGACAAGGGTGTAATTCCTAGTGGTCCCAGTCCCCCCCTCCCCATTATTTTATACTTGACAGGCTGGCCTCATTAACATTCTCTGACTAGCCCTTCAGGCCCCTGAACTTGGAACCTCGGCCCACCACAGAAAACAATCTCACATTTGTTTGCTTCTTTCATGATCTCAAATATCTTTTGACCGACTTGTTTCACTTCCTATTTCTTTCAGAAAATCAAAGAAACAAAACTTCCGCAAGGCATAAATTTATATGATGCTTGAGAACATCATGTAACATCCTTCGACTTGTAGCACATTCCCAATTGTGGCTTGTAATGAATGGATATTTCTGGAAGGAAATGTCCAAGTGTGCACTGCTTACCATGTGAGATATTGCTACAGAAGCCTGCTGCCAGGTGTCCATCACCAATTTCTCATCCGTCTCCAGGTTTGACTCCACATTTTCGAGTGACTCATCCATCTGCTCCTTCAGTATTGCTTTTATTTTTGGTTTGGGCACAACCGTTTCCGGGGAAATGGATATTCGAGGAATGAGAGGGATTCTTTGGAAAGCAAACACACAGGAAATGTAAAGATTTTGCATAAATAAAATCTGTACACTCAACAACAACAAAAGAAATATGAAGACTTTGTTAGCAGAATTCTATTTTCATTCATGTTGTGCTGTAAATTTTGTTGTCTTGCTCTAATCTCCATTTTTCAAGCTTACTGGAAAGAATTATTTTAATGGGGAAAAGATGATAAATCACCATATTTAAGTTTTGTGGTCTGGAAAGCCTTGTTCATGGGAGCATACTCAAAGTAAATGACAACATAAACATCATTACCAGGTTCAATTCTCAGTAATTATGAAAGAGAAGGATTAAAGCATAGTGATTCTGAAGTCATACAATTTTGAAATTTATCCAGGACATACACTTCTCTTGAGGGATAAATCAGTCATGAAAAAGGTAAATCAAAGGGAACTGTGCACAGGTTCTTTAAGATGACGGCATCATTTGGCATTATGATCACTTAAGTAGGAGGATGAGGAAGGTGAGGTCTGAGTGGTCTGTCACATGGGGGCAGCAAGGTTTAGGTGGTGGCAGGGGCAGGCTGAAGCTCCAGCAGCCTTCCCAGCTCTTGAGTATGGATGAGTTTTTCTCTCTGTTTTTTTCAAGTGCTGTGGAAGCACAGAATTAAGTTCCCTTTCTCTTTACCGCATTGCTGCCCCAATGTGGAAATTTCAGAGGTGTCCCTGGGAATATGCTATCCCTGAAGGATCCCAGGATCTCAAAGGTTAATTGCAGCAGAGAGAGATCCACCAGGTAGAATGGACTTTTTTTCGACGTGATTGTGATCGTTCTTTGCTGAACAAAATGTGTGAAAGGCTGTGATCTTGGGAACAGAATGAGGACAGAATGGCTCCAAGAATGTCTTGGTTGAAACTTTGAGAATCAGGGTCAATACTAGTAACAGTATTTGGTTTGTAGACAAGTTGCTGGAGAACAGAACAATGATTTAGAAAGATGCTGGTCAACTCTAGCAAACAATTAGCTTGGTCTTATTTTGACACATCAGACAAAGATATTATACTTGGCATCATGATTCTGATAGTCTACCATGTTTATAAGGCAATTCATTGACTCATTTGTGGATAGATGAATCTACCATTCATCTATCCACAAATGAAATTATATCTTAATAATGAAATAATGCTGAATCAGTCACATCAGTTCAACAGAGATTCATGTATCCAATAAGTTAAGGTAAAGTATGAGGTTATCTCTAGATATTTAGTGCAGTACAGCATGTATTTCCTATGACCTTACTGTATGGGACAACAAAGGTGGTATATGGTTTAGAAAAAAAAATGGGGGTCTTGAATTCATTTACTGGAAAAATTCTGGTCTATGTAGCTCTGCCACTATCAGCAGATATGATCTTAGGCAAGTCATTTGACTTTCTGAAACTCAGTTCCTCTTGGCAAAACACAAACATAATGCCATTGCTATTATTGCGTATCCCTATCAGCTAATCAATATCTGCTAGTATTTTTTAGAATAGTCTTACTGTACTATTATTATTATTATTATTGGGTTGTTGGGAGGAATAAAATAGAAAAGCCCTGTAAAAATGCTTAACACTGTTTGTGTCTCTACATATGTTACAGAGACTGTGGTTAATTGATAGTTGGTTCACACACTGATTGACTGATAGTTCTAGCTGGTAGCCATAGCACTGATTTTAGGATCAGATTGGTGCAAAGTTGTTCTGCAGAAAATTGGAACTGGCTGTTCTTTTGGCAGTTTTATTCTGCTAGCCAAGATTAATAGCTTCCCTATGACTTGCTATTTTATGCTAAGAACAGAATGCACTGCCACTTTACACTGTGAAAGTTGAACTCTTTTTATGGCTCTGATGGTTCACACTGCCTTTGAATTTTTTTATTGTTTTTTAATTTCAAAGTTTTCTTTCAGCAGCTTGCTGAACGTTTCTCTTGTATCAAGAAGGGGGTACACAATTTCCCTCTTGTGTATTCTTGTATGCACATGGACGTGACAGAGCTATGATGGCAATAGATGAAAGAAGCTTTGAGAGATCAGTGGATCTTCGGTCACTGCGTAGTCCTACTTCAAATGTTTAATCCACCTCAAATCCTTTTAGGAACAAGGGTGTGGGGCAAAACAAACAAAGCAAGAGCATGTAATAATTAAAAATGTTGCATATCAGCAAGGTCACTGTATATTATGCAATGACAACAGTAATCACCACTTATTGAGAGTTATTGAAACTAAATCACAAGTCCTCTGAGTCCCAAATATGGTACCAAATGCTTTGTAGATTTTATTTTCTGTAATCTTTACAAAAGCCTTGTTTTACAGATTAGAAACCTGGTACTTAGAAGGAGCCCAAGTAATTTGATCAGACAAGTAAATAATCTATTTACATGTAGTTAGTAACTGACCCACCAAGGACTCAAACCAAATTTGTCCTACTTCAAAATATCTTCATTAACCTCCATCTGTTTGTGCAATTCCTATTGTTTTCATTTACTCAGTAAGCTTATATTTAACAGACATACAATATTTAAAATATAAAATCCATATCTCATCTCCTTGGAGATTTGAGTAATAATAATATTAGTACAGTAAGACTATTCATAAAAAGACTAGCGGACTAGCAGATATTGATTAGCTGATAGGGATAAGCAATAATAGCAATGGTATTATGTTTGTATTTTGCCAAGAGGAACTGAGTTTCAGAAAGTCAAGTGACTTGCCTAAGTTCATTCAGTGCCTGCATAGGGTGTTTAAATCTCACTTCTTTTTTCCCCTCTTTATGTATACTTTTTTGTGGGTTTTTTTCCTCACCTTTTTCTCTTGGCCCTACTTACTGGTCATTTTAACCTTTTTTTATTTTACTATTTTATCTTTTCTTTATATCTTATCAATTTATTTTTAGTTAACTCATTTACTTCTTAAGGACTTTGATTTCTGATTTTAATTATTTTAAATCTTACAAAAGTAAGTTTAAATGTTCTCTTAGCGTTGTTTTATGGTTGGAAGCCACCCCAGAGGAATTACCACTATTCCCCCCCCCCCCACATTTCTTGATGGCATTTTTCTACTGGTTCATAGTTTGGGATCTTGCTCTTCCCCTGTCCCTGTTAGATGTATAAAAATAATTATTCATAAACTTCATATTTCACAGGATTTGTTTGACTGAAAGTATAATTTTCATCCATCCTCCACCAAGTTCCTTTTCTAATGGAGGAATCTAATGTTAGACTGTGAATAGGTTGTTCCATCTTATGAGGTTATAATCACATGTAACGAGTCTTTAATGCTTTTCAACTTCCTCATGGGTGAAAGAACACTCACAACCTATTTCATTTCCACTTACATAATTACACACGCGCGCACACACACACACACACACACTGCTAGACTCCTTTCATGAAAGTAGTAGAGATTTATAATCTTTTACCAGAGACCCTTGGGGGCCAAAAGTGTTTCAGAATTCAGATATTCCTAATACCCCCTGCAATGTCTGTGGAGACACTCCATAGTAACTACACTATAATTATCCAGTGAAAGAGGTAAATATTCACTGTTAACAGGATAAATAATGCATGTTAATAGCCTGAAGTGAGAATTGGAGCATTTTGGATTTGAAGGATAAAGAGTGCAATATTTTTAGTTGTGGCAATTAATTACTAATGGTAACTCAATCACAAAGGTTTATGTTCAAAACAGTTACAATATACCATGAAGATCTACCTTACCTAATTTGGTTTTCCGAAAGTTCTTTACTATCCAGTTGAACCAATGGGATTCGAGTAAATTTCTTATTGTCCTCTAATGGGATTTTGCAATCCATTGCCCTGTAATAATCCTGAAGGAGTCTCTTTGTATCTTGAAACCGGTTCACTTCCGCCTTTAATAGCAAATGTGAGTATCAACACCCACGAAAGACAGATCTGTACATATTTCCTGTATAAGATCTTATAAGAACTATTTTAGAAACATTTAGGTTGAAATTAATTTATGAAAATTAAGAAAGAATATTGGAGGATATGTATATATCTAACATGTGCATAGTAATTAAGGTAACTAGTAACATGCTTTCTGTACTTACTGAGCATGATTTCATCCAACAAGGTGACATTTCTATGCCTCTTGATATTGTGATAGAGGTTGCAATATGCTTGATGTTTGAAGTAGTGCATATTATTCATTATTTTGATATTAGGAATTCTCCCTGTGTCCTAACCAATCAACCAATAACTTCACAATCATTAAAATGTGTTCTTTATCATAGCCAACACGTTAGTTGATTTGAGATATACCAATATATATACAAAACCAAGAAACAAGACTAGAGTCTAATCTTTTAAGACAAAATAATTATTGTGGAAACACAATAAACAGTAATGTAAAGTGATAATGAATAGCTATCTTTCCAGTTTCACTCCAACTTTCCAGATAATTCCTCCAGTGCTCACAGTTATACTTCTTAGCTGGGGTTGCCAGTAAGTAGCTCAAGGGAAATGGAGCTTCTGAGAGGAGGTGGTGGTGAGATGAGCATCAGTCATTCACGTGATGTGGTGACTCCCTATCAGCACAGGGCATTTCCCTTTGTGATATGTGCTGAAATGCCTGTGCAGGGAGACCCCCTTCAGCACCAAGATACAAGGGTAGACTTCAAGATTTTCAGCTCATTCTCCCACTGGTATTAGACTGTGTGGTATATCTGTGCTTCTCTTTTGTAGTGTTCACATGAACTTAGACTTTGCTTTAGTTGGTGGGGCTGCTCAAACTAGTATCTAGAGCCTAAATATCGAGCCTCTCATACAGATGTCCTCTATGACATCTAGTTATTTACAGAAAGCAACATTTTTAAAAAGAACAAAACTGACACAGTGTTCAAAATCTTTAGCTGAACCTAACTCAAGGACATTTATAAAGAGATTCCCTTCATTTGTTAAATAATTATGTTACCATTTATTTCATATAACACCCAGAAAGAGAGAATTGCACTGCTATCATCATAGTTGAGAACAAAGAAATGTCTGTTTTTGTATCGTATACTACAACAAAAGACAATGAGTTTGATCAGTTTGTTTTTTGATAAGCTGAATTCCTCCTAAAAAAAACATTCTTTGCTTTATTAAACTTTCCTAGCTAAATTACTGAATTGGGAACAAATTTGTTTGGTTAATTTAAATCTATCTTATATCATTTTAAGTCACAGAACATGTTTTAAAATTATTTAAAATTAAAATTAACATATTATTTAAATTGTAGAACATGTTTTTAAATTGTCTCTTTATATTTAAGCAGGTTTTCAAGCTAGTATTTTAAAAAGATGGGGAAAATGAAATAATTTTCTTTGCAAAGAAACCAACTTGAGTCTTAAAATATTCCTATAAGGATTAATTTCATAGTTTGACAATATGTGTTTGCACCTGTCTTTTTACCTGTTTGGTAAAAATAAGTCTTATACATATACTCACAAGAACTTGTACAATACCACATTTACAATGAATAGGATGCAAATAGAAACCCAAGTTTTACAATTTAGATGTTGGAAAATAACTTTTACAAATGGAAGAAATATGTAGAGAGGTTATAAAATTATTAGTTATTAAAAACATTATATTATTTGGTAAATTAATTAATAAGGAAATTATTTCTTCCTTAGAGAGCTGAGCTCTTCAGTAATGATAAGGTCTAGTAAGCTTACACAGTCTAACTTATACAAGTGGTATCTGGGACTGTGCTGATAATCTGTGCCTTAGGCTTACTTTATTATGTTTAAATAAAAGCTTAATTTATTTGAAGAGACATAATTTGAAATCAGTATATAGGAAAACCTGAATAAGATGCCATAGTATGCTTAGGATTCCCATATAAGAAGAATTAATGAAGATTCTTCTCACTTTTATGAGTAAGTAACGCTCCCATGTTTTTCCTTAATTTTTGCAGACTCTTAGAATTGAAGGGAATCTTTGAAATTATCTAGAATAGATTTTCTGAAATTTATTGTGAAAAAACATATCCTTACAGGCTGTTAAGGAGCACCTTGTTGGAGATGAAAGGAACACAAACTTTGTAAGGTCAAATAGTTTCAGAAATGCTGGGCTAACATATGAAAAGGATTTCTTTACTACAGAGCATCTTGATGTCTAAATATGTTAATATGCTTGTTAATCTCCCAGGGGGAGGGAGGGCTAGAGTTGTGAAGCACTTTATAAAGTCATCTGACCATGGAGTCCTCATTTTGCAAAACATCTTGGAGGACTAGTAGTCCGTGGAGCCCACTTGGAAAGCACTTATCTAGCAGTTTGTTAACCAGTACCACAGGCTCTTGAGAACATTCTCAAGGGTTCTTTTCCTGGGTCCTCCGCCAATGTGCAAGTTTTAGCTTTTGTGCTTTCTGAACGAAAGGCTCTGAAGTCTGTTATTTGATGAATAGTTTTAATCATTAGGCTCTTTGTTCATATACTGAAATAAACTTGCTTTTTTTCCTGCCTTGTCTGTTCTTGGCTCTTATGGGATCCTATCCATCAGTGCAGAATATAGGCTCTCTCTTTTCTATCTGGTGACTCTTTGGTTATCTGAACAATGTTGGTGACACAGCAGTGGCCAGACAGGAGCACTGGCTCTACAGTTGCACCCAGTCGAATCCCTGCTCTTCCACTTGCCAACTGGGAACATTGGGTAAATTGTTTCTCTTGTGCTAGCCTCAGTTTCCTCATCTGTGAAATGAGGATGATTATAGAACTTACAGCATAGGGTTGTTGTGAAGGTTTAATGGGTTGTATTTGAAAGTTCTTAGAATAGTACCTGGCAGGTACACAGTAAGAACTTAATAAATGTTTAACATTTACTGATCTTCTCCTTATCTTCATTTCTTCTAGTTGGTATTGAATATTAGTTTGGTTTGTCAGGATGAGAGCCTTACATTGAGATATTGCTGAAACATCAAACTCATTTCATTTCCTGAAGAGACGTGTACGGCTCACAATGATTTACAAAATTTTTCCATTTTCTGCCTTCATTATTGCATTTTAGCTGTTTCTGCCATAAGCTTTAGACAGACCTGTTCTCAAGACTTGACCACTGCTTGCTCAAATTGAGGCTCTGGGGATGCTACTTGTTCAGGCTGGTCAAAGCATTTCACTTTGATCTTTTTGCACAACTCATGCTCCTGGGATCTCACTGTCATCCTGATTATCACTTATCTCTGTCCTCAGGTTTAGGTGAACTCTTTTGCATTCCATCTTAACTTCCCAATCCAGAGTCCCCATATTCCTGCATAGGTATTTCCTGTCCTGTTTTCTTGACTTCCTTAAGTCTCCTAACTGGATCTCAATGCTAATATAGTAGTTTCCTCTTACCCAATGGGGGATACATTCCAAGGCCCTCAGTGGAAACCTGAAACCATGGATAGCACCAGGCACTATATATATATATACTATGTTTTTCCTTTGTGTGCATATGAATGATAAGGTTTAATTAAATTATACATAGCGAGAGTAACAATAACAACTAATAATGCAATAGAATGGTTATAATAATATACAGTAATAAAACATGTGAACATGGAATCCCTCAAAATATTTATTACACGATACTCACTTTTTTTGTGTGTGATGATGTGAGGTAGCACAATGCTTGTGTGACAATAGGAGGTGAGGTGCAGGTATTACAACATAACATTAGGCTATGACACAGGGTTACCTGAATACAAGAACTGAAAAAACAGAACAGTTGATCTGATAACCTGCATGGCTACCAGTGAATAATGGGTGGACAGCATATGTAATTTGGATGTTCTAGACTAAGGGGATGACATATCCCAGGTAAAATGGAACAGAATGGGATGGTCTAGAGTGAGACAAACGGAGACTCTATCATGATACTCAGAATGGTAGACGATTTAAAATTTGTAAATTGTTTACTTCTAGCATTTTCCATTTAATACTTTTGGACCACCTAGCACAGTGGCATATGCCAGTAGTCCCAGCTACTTGGGAAGCTGAGGTTAGAGGACTGCTTGATCCAGGTGTTGGAGCCAACCTGAGCAACTAGTGAGACCCTGTCTCAAAAGCAAAGGGAAACAAAGCAATAGCGAGTTTTTTAGGCCTCGGTTGATGCAAGCTAATTAAAACTGTGAAAGTGAAACCACAGGGGAGGGGAGACTATTGTAATCAACAAAGCTGCTCCTGTCCCTCGGGTGGTCCAGCCTGCCCCTGCAACATAGTTTGCTGGTTTGAAAGCGGGAACTCCTAGCATTCATTGGTCATTTATCAAACAAGCTTTCGTTGCACACCTACTATGCAACAAGCTTTAGAGATTGCCAGATAAATATCCTCATTTCTTGCAGCATTTCCTCTTGTGAGTTAATTAATTCAAGATTAGAAATGCACCCTTTTCGATCCTCCATCTTCAGTGTTTTTCTTTTAGGAGAAACATTAGCCTTAATAGTCCTTTCAGCCTGATTGAGGCTTCTTCTTGACTCTAGGCTCCTGCCCTCCCTCTTTTTAGAGTACTTTAGAAAACTCATTCTTGTAGATCCTTTCTTTGACTCTTTGAGATACAAATCTTTTAAAAACCTCTTATCAGACTTAGAACCCAGAAATGTCCTTCTCAAGACCAAGAAGCATCTCTTTGAAATGTGATTAGTCATCAGGGAAGATAGTGCCTCTGGGCTCCTGATGAGGGTAGGACACCAACTTCTACAGGTGCTTTGCTCCAAGCTCTAAAACTACTTCCCAGAATGAAGGTGGGAGAGAGTGGTTTTTTTCCTTTGGGTAAGGCAATTACCAAATACAGATGGCTCATAAGGCTCCGACCTCCACCCCATGCCAGCTCTCAAAAGCTCTCTAGCAGTTTGTCTTGGAGGAGCTGGGTGCCAAAGACTCGTCTTTGCTCTTTCCCCTATTGCTGGCAGGAGTATAAGAATAAAATTGTAGCTGGGCATGGTAGCATAAGCATATTGTAGTCCCAGGGTCATGGGAGGCTGAGACAGGAGGATAGCAAGTTCAAAGCCAGCCTCAGCAAAAGCGAAGTGCTAAGCAACTCAGTGACACACTCTGTAAATAAAAAAAACATTCAAAAAGTAGGGCTAGAGATGTGGCTCAGTGGTCAAGTGCCCCTGAGTTGATGTCTGTGCTTTTATCTTATCTCATAAAATTTTTATTTAATAGGCTGGTAATATAAGTTAGGCAGGTCTTTCTGATGAATGGTCTGTTTTTCCAATCCAGTACTAGAAAATCTTTTATTTTCAGAAATTCTAGTGCCTGCTGTTTTTGTCTGTGCATTGTGGCAGGATTGCCTTCCTAGCCACTCTGGGTGTCTGCTTTGAAAGACCAAGGTAAACAACTCAGTTGCTGTCCTCTACATATCTAGGCATCTGCAAGTAAAGCTGGTGAGAAGCTGGTGGGGATGCTTCCAGTCTGTGTGCTTGCTTGGTTGAGGCCAAATTTATTTAGATTGGCTAATTTTCTTGGCAAACTGGAATGCATACCAGGCAAAGTTCTAAGAGCAAAATGATATTTGAACAGACCCCTACATTCCCAAATGAGTTGTGCATGCGGGATGTGGCTGTGGGGGGAGGTCTGTGTCACTGTGACCAGCTGCTCTCACCTGCATCAGTGAAAAACAGTGGTTCATCATTACTCCAAGACAGTCCTGCAACCAGTTCTCATTAATGATATCAAGTCGCTCCTGCTCTGCCTCCTCCTTCCTGGCATCACAAATGTCCCACAGGCGGTCTCGCAGATCCTGATTGGAAAAGACCAGAGCCAGGTTATGCTTGAGAATTAACGTTCTATTTGCCTCAGTGTTAACAACCTAGAATATCATGCTTCTCCTAAAAATGTCCCTAAAGAAAATTTAGACCTAGTGTACTCATGTATTATATTCATTCCTTGAACCAGTAATTACTTTGCTTCTATTTGTAAATCATACACCATTTTATTTTACATATTTTCAATTTTTTTGTTACTATGGATTGCACACAGGGGTGCTTTACCACTGACACATTCCCAACCTGTTTTATTTTGAGATAGAACTGGCTATGTTTCTCAGGCGGGGCTTGAGCTTGAGATCCTCCTGTCTCGGCCTCCTGAGTTGCTGGATTATAGGTGTGTGCTACCACCCTGCTCATGTGCCCACATCTGTTACATATCCACTTAGGTTATGTTATCCATGGATGCTTCATGAATTTTATTCCTTCGTCAAAAAAAATTTGCTTGGTTTAAAATATTTTCATGTTTTTTTTTTTTTTTTGAGCACAGCTCCATGTAAACAAGGACATAGACTTGTTGATTGATATCACAGGTAGAATCTGTTAGTCACCAAAAACTGTCATCTTAACTTAATGGGATGGTCCAAAATAAGTTTGGTGTTAAAGAACTAATAGTAAGATACCTTTAAGATACTAGTTCTGCCACATACCAGATTTGATCATTAATAAAATTGATAACATAATATTTACATATATTTATAATGTGGGAATTTTCAAAGACCAAAATTATTTATATATAAATTGTAAAATAACAATGGTCACAGGTACTGAGCTCTTCCTATGTGTGTCAGTCTGTTTCAGCACAAATCACTCTACATGTAACATCTCACAACAGCTTTAGATGGTACTATTTTTATATTCATTTTGCAGATGAGGTGAGTCACAGAAAGGCTATGTTCCTTGGGTCTCACAATGAGTAAACGGTGGAGCCAGGAGATGAAACTTTGGCCTTGAGTACCATCATCACTGTACTATGCTTCAATTGCTTTTTCCGTAAAAGGGAGATGAGGACATTCTTTGGATATATGTTATTTACAGTAAATTAGTTCATGTAAATAAAGTGCTTAGCACAGTGTTCACCAAAATTCCTCAATTAATGAAGGTTACTATTACAATCTTATTCATAGCAATAAAATGTTTGTTTAATGAAATATCCCAATAGTTAAATATATACAGTCCTCAAATTTGACAGTTTCCTCAATAATATGATTCACTAAACATTTATTGTGTGTCGGGGACTGTGTTAAATGCTCTATAAAGATTACCTCCTAATCTTCACAGGGAGGTAAGTCACTAGCCTATGATTTTTGTCTTGGTGGAGTCAAGACAAAAATTTGAACCCCAGCCATTTAACGCTAGTGTCTACAGTGAATTTTGCTGGTGTGAGGCTCTGTTTATGAAACACTTTGTACTTGAAGTCTTAGCATTTTGGTGCATTTCTGTGTGTAGGCTGTACATAAAATGAAAACATCACAAGTTATTATGTCGGGATAATATACCATTTTTTTAGAGCTGATCCCGATATCTAGATGCTGTTTCCACAAATGCTCTGTGGGACATTCAATAAATATTGACTTCTGGTTACCAAATATTTATACATTTTTTTAAAAGATAAGAGAGTATTCAGCAAAGGATAAGATATAAAAGCAGGATTCTGAAAACCTTGTTCTGAGTTCTTTTTCTGCTGCTGACTCACAGTGGGACCTGTGCAAGTTATATCACCTCTGTGGCTCAGTTTTCCTGTGAGAAGAACGTGGGTGGTGCAATGGCAGAACTACTCTGCTCACCATGTGCATAAGGTTGAGATGAAATAAACCAAGAACAAGGCATATCACCAAGGATCAAAGGATTTAAACACCCAATGTTTATTATGGCCTTAGCTAAAGGCATTGCTGGCTTTCACAATTTATTTAGAAGAAATTGAGGAATTACTAAATTTTCCTGAATAATCTAAGATAGGCAGGATTTAAGAAATATTCACGACTTAGTTGAGAAGGTTAGGAAGACAAGATCAGTGAAAATGTCCACTTTTACAAATGTTGTAAATATTTTCTCTTGGGTCAAAAACCTGAACTCAATTTATATGGCATTTACTTGAGATTCACATGAAACAAAATGACACAGAAAGTTCAAACTGGAAAATTTATATGAGGCAAATGCAAATAAAAAATAAAGTAAGGCACATAGGACTGGTATTTGAATAAAAGTTAAATTCAAGACAAAAATGTACTTTGGCAAAAATGGTTATTATACTATAAATAGTTACAGGAGACCATGAAGATTCGCCTTAGCATACTTCTTCCAGTGTCCAATAATGCTGCTTGGAGAAGTAGCTTAATGGGGAGCCAGGCTGCTGGGCCACAGACCCCAGAGCTGCCAGTTACTATGCTGACCTCTGCCACAGCTCTTCACCTGTCAACTGCGATCATTCCTAGTTCCTGTCTCAGATTGTTGTCTTGGGAATGAAATAAGATATGCCAGCCTGTGCTCAGTGTTTAGCTATGACTACTGCTGCATCACTATCAAAACTATGATGAAGAAAATGGATAAGGATGCAACATGGGATGAAAAAAATATTTTTAAATTAAAACTAAGAATCTATAATGAAAAATTTTTATATTCATCTACAAAAATATTCAAAACATTCTACATGTTAAAACTCACTACAAATAATACAAGGTAAACATCAAACAGAGTATATACTTGTAACATGATCAACAGGTAGCTTATATCCTTGATATATAAAGAAATCATAGGAATCAATAAGAAAAAATGGATACTCCAATAGAAAAGTGGGCGAAAGTCACAAAATGACTTCAGGAGAAAGAAAATAAATGACCATTAAACCTATGAAAATATGGTAAGCTTCAATTATAAAAATAGAAATATAAATTATAAGAAGATATTCACATTTTTACCCATAAGTGGGCAAAGATTGAAAAAAGAAGATAGAATCTAATGTTGAGAGTATTCATACAACCTGCTGCTTGAAATGAGATTTAAATTTTTAGTGTGAGATTCCTTATATTTAACATTTTTTTCCCAAAATCTGTAAATTTTTAATGTGTTTCAAAGACCTTAAAAATAAACATGATCTTGCTGGGTGTGATAGCACATGCCTATGATGCCAGCAAGTAAGGAGGTCAAAGCAGGAGAATCCCAAGTTTGAGACCATCCTGGGAGACCCCCATTTCAAAATAAAAACTAAAAAAATACCTTCACAGAAGCAGAACAGGAGGATGTTGGGGAAATAAGATATAATTAAAATTACTATTTGTTAAGGGTTGTAGAGTGTTGAGAAAAAATACCCACCCACTCTGTAACTCCAAATCTGGGAGAAAGCCCTTGAAATAAATAAAGCCACAGAGAACAAGAAGGAAATAGAGGACAGGTATAAAACAAACACTGACACTAAGACTTGCTAGAAATAAATGAGAAAAAATTACAAATAAGATATTTTAAATTTTCAAATTACTGTGTTATCTGTTAATAATAAGTTGACTAATATTAGGATGAAGTATACATGAGGGCTGGCTTGGGGGTGGTTTTATGAATAGGTAGGAAAGAAATAGAAAAAAACAAAAAAGAGTCAGTCTTAGGATTCGCATACATGACAGTTTGGGTATGAGGTGTACCCTGAAGTTCCCCTGCAGGAATGTTTGGAGGTGAAATGATTAGGATATAAAAGCTGTAATCTAGTTAGTGGATTAATCCATTTCTCGTTTTTCTTTTCCTTGCCTTGACTGATTAATCCATTTGACGGATTGATACTTTGGGTGGATCATGGGTGGAGCTGTAGGCAGGTAGGTGTGAATGGAGGAAGCAGGTCTTGGGGGTGTGCCCTTGAGGACTTTCTATCCCTGGCTCCAGGCTCTGAAGCTCTCTGTTGCCAGGCTGTTACGCACTGAGCAGCTTTCCTCTGCCCAATTCTGCCATGGTGTCCTGGCCACCGCGGGCATACAGAGTCAGAGCTGCCCAACCACGGACTCAACCTCTGAAACTCTGAGCAAAAATAAACTTTTCTTCCTTCCAGTCAGGTCTTTTGGTCATAGTGATGAAAATCCGACCAACACAACACAGTTAACTACTACTTTTTAAGTAATGTCTAAGAACAAGTAAAACACCTCAGCTTCACTAGCACATTTAAGTACCTCTTGGGTCAAACCCTTCTGCATCAACCAGGCTACCATGAGGCCTTGCTCTTGTTATAAAAACTTCCCAGCTGGTTTCCAAACTGCTCTTCCTGCTCATTTTTCTCCCCTATAGGATCTTTTGAAACCAGCAACTGAAGCTTTCCATCTCATTCAGACCAATGCCAATACCCTAATACTGAACTCTGGGGCCTTAGGTACTATAGTCCCCTACAATCTCTCCAGTCTTATCACCAAACCACTTGCCCATTCTCTCTCTGCTCCAGCTACACCAGTCTCCTTGCTGTTTTTCAAAAGCACTGAGCATCCTGTACCTTCATGGTCTTTTCCCTTGCTTTTCTCTGTGGCTGAGATACCCTCCTCTAAACATGCACGGTGCTCACTCCATCACTTCTCTCCTGAGTCTGTTCAGGTGTCACCTTCTTAGAAGGAATTTTTAGAACCATCATAGACAAAATTGTTACAGAAATGATTATTTTCCTCTTGCCCTGCTTTCTTGCTCCCCTCAAAGCTCTTCTTGCTAAGGACCTCATTCTGTATTCACTTGTTTATTGCTTATTCTCTGTCTCCTGGATACATAAGTTTATAGACATTCTGTTCAAGTTCAATTCCCAGACCCTTGATATAAATATTTACAGAGCAGACAATGGGATATGAGGTAGAGTTTGGCAATGTTTCTGTTGCACAAATAAATACTGAGGTCATAACCAGAATTGACTGCTAGTAGCCCATACTTCTGGTAGTAACAAGGGGGTCTTTCTGATGGGATAAGGAAGTCTGTGGATTTACAGAGAACACAAGGGGTAAGAGACTGAAATCAGGCTTCTTGTGCACCAGAAGCCCTTGTTTAAAGTATCAGGGTAATACACTTCATTCATGAATTTATGAAATTCTGTCTGTTTACCAATTACCAAGCATTGTGCTTGCTAGAGTACAAAGATGTATAAGCTTTGGTACCTGCCCTCAAGACATCTACTCAATGCTTGGCTTTTTCTCATTTTTCTTTTCTTTGCCATTGATTGACCATATGACGGTGTTCAAGATAGGCATGTGATTAACACCAGACATGAGTGCAGCCACATGGACCAACAAAGGAGACAGGCATTTATAAGACAGAGGCCAAGAGGGGCCTGCAAGGCAGAGACCTTGGCTACTCTTCCCAGAAGTGTTGCCACCACATTCTCATTCTGAATCCAAAGCACAGAAGAGCCTCTGCTCTGGAGAATTAACCTGGTAAAAGTTCAAATCATTGCCTTTCTCATTCTCACTCTCAGGGAGGTCAGAGAAATGAACTGGGCCCTGGCCCAGCATGTCACCGCTGTCCTTACATTCACTCTTTGGTGCAGTTCTGCCTTTGTTTCCTCATCATCCCACAGGTCATCAGGAAGAGAGTTGAAATCAGCCTGCCACTGAGCTACGAAATCTTGCTTGTGATCAGGACGCCTTAGAAACTCCTGGAAACTTGTTCTGTAAGACATTGAGAGAAGGAGAGGGATCTTATATGTCATACCTGTAAACTGTAAAATTCTGACTTTGGAACTTTACTCACCTGATCTGGTATAAGTACACAAGTACAGCATGCTGGTCTTCTCTCAGATGTCTGAGAACCGTTTTGATGGTGCTGATGTAGGAATTCTCTATTAGTTCCCAGTAAGGTATTAAAAATGAAGGTAATTCCTGTTCATGGTAAAGCATAGAAATCATTGTTTCAAAATGAAAACTCTTCTAAATAATTGGGTCAAAAGAGTATTATAAGCAAGCAGATCAGGAAACAGTTGCAACTATCTGAAGCATTCCTCGTGAAACTTCCCACTCCTCTTTTCTTTCCCTCTCCCAGTTAATTACCATTCCAAAGAATTCTTCAGGTCTCAGTGCAGACATCATCTCTTCCATCATCCCCTGACCCAACAGTTTTGCAAGATTACATTCAGATGGCCTGAAGTTGGCCCTTAGCTCCCTGTACTCCTATTATCATAACATCAATGACATTAATTGTAAGTGCTTATTTATCCAACTCTAGAATATCAGTCCTGTAAAATCAAGAATTATGATCATCTTGTTCACCTCTTTTTTTTCATCTTGTTCACCTCTATTCAATCTTTCCTTAATTACCATAGTACCTGAGACCTAGTAAATTCTCAAGGAATATTCATTGGATGAATGAATTAAATCATCACATTTTGCCTCAGCTGGAAAACGGCCTCCTAAGGAGAACGCAAAGATGCTATCTCAGAGGGATGAATAAGATCCTGTACCTGGATGGATTCTGTCCCTTCATGTCCTATTTCCCAGTGCCACTGTCCTCTCTCATTCAGGTCCTTATCAGCTCTTGTCTAGAAGGTACAGGTGTCTCCTGGCAAATCTCAAGAATTCTTTTCAATATCCATGAATAACATTTCAAAACCAGCTAATACTGATTGAGAACTTACAACCACCAAACAAATTGGTTTTAATTGCTTTTCCCATTTGAATATGAAGCAGTTGAGTCAACAGAGGCCACAAAGCCCATACAAGGTCATGCAGCTGCTGAGTGACATGGCTGGGATTTGAACACAGACAGACTAATCACAGCCCACATTTAAAAATGATTCACCCTCCCGTCTCTCTCAGTTATTGTTTTGAAAACAGATTCCAACATGTTATTTCTGTAGAACATTCCATAGCTTCAACTATCTGGCAGATAAAGTCAAACAATCCAGCACTCTTTCAATGTCCTGAGAAATCTGATCCCTTCTCCTGTTAGACTTGAGTCCTGAAGCCGCCTCTGCAGACTTTCTGCTTCCAAATACATTGAGCTATTTTCTCTTGGGTACCTCCTCCCTAACTAACTATATTATTCCCTCCTCTATGTTATTATAACAGTTTCTATTTTGTTTACAAATACAGCGTGCTATAATGAGTTGCTTATATTCTTCTGTCTTCAAGCAAATTTTGTTCTGGGACATAGAAACTGCAGCTTGCATGTTTTTGTGCTCCCATCCCTGAGTGCAGCATTTGCAAATAAGAGGTTTTCAATGGATGTTGACGTGGATGAAAATAGACGCTCATGAATCCAGTTTTGACATTAGTTAGAGTTTTGGGAGACTGGTTGACTGCATTTAGTTTTAAAAGCCTAAGATTTTACATCCAACCATAGATTAATGTATTTATCTTAATTAAATATTTGTGATTCATTTATCTTAATTAAATATTTACATTTCCTTTAATGCTTCTCTGACACTACTTTAACACCTTTTTCTGACCTAGCTTCTTCTCTTTCTGGTTTCAACAGAAAACCAGAGATGCCTATCTCTCTCTTTCTC